GTCCCTTTCTTGCCACATCTGTGCCAGCACTGGTTGCTTTTGTTCTTTTGCATGTGGTCCAGTCTCTGTGGTGTAAGATGATATGTCATTGTGGTTTTGATCTGCATCTCCCTGATGATTAATGATGTAGAGCATTTTCTCATGTGCCTTTTTGCCATTCGGATTTCTTCTTTGAGAAAATTTCTGTTCATTTCATTGCCCCATTTTTTGATGGGATCGGATGTTTTCTTCTTGTGAACTTCAACCAGTACTTTCTATATCCTTGATATCAACCCCTTGTTGGATGTGTATTTGGTGAATATCCTTTCCTATTCTGTAGACTGTCTTTGTACTTTAGTCACTGTTTCTTTTGAGGTGCAGAAGCTTCTTACTACATCTTCTTTATCTAGTCATCTATTGATAGGTGTGTTGGTTATTGTGATTAATACTGCTATGTACATTGGAGTATGGATATTCTTTTGCATCAACATTTTTATATTGTTGGCATAACTGCCTAAGGGTTGTATTTCTGATTTTATTTTTCAACAAATCTTCACAAAATTTCCATAGAGGCTGCGTCAGTTTACAGTCCCCCACCTGTACCCAGGATTCCTTTTTCTACATGTTCTCATCAATACTTGCTACTTCCATTCTTTTTGTTATAGGCCATTCTATCTGGTGTGAGGGAAAATCTACTGAAGGCTTGATTTGAATTTCCCTAATAATAAGTAACATTGAGCACTTTTTCATTTAATTGTGGGTCATCTACAATTGCCTTCTTTAGAGAAGAAGCTATTCATGTCTTTTACTCATTTTTAAATTAGGTTTATTTCTTTTCTGATGATTTTTGTGAGTTCTTTAGTACTTTGGATTATTACTCTTAACCTCTTGTCAGATGTATGATGTGGATCTTTTGGAAAAACACCTTTTCCTGGTTTTCTATACCCTAGAATTAGAACCAAAAAAGGTGGAAAGTATAGGCTTCAGAGTGATAGAGTGATAGTAGAGTGGATAGAGCATTTGCCTTGTATGTAGCTGATCTGGGTTCTATTCCCAGCAACCTATATGGTCCCGTGAGGACTGCCAGGAGCAATTTCTGAATGCAGAGCCAGGAGTAAGCCTTGAGTATTGCTGGGTGCTATGTCCCACCTTCCACCCCCAATTTTTTAAATATATATTTTCATAAAAGTAGTCCACAATATAGTTCATTACAGATAATATTTAAACACCAATCCCACCACTGAGCACTTTCCCACCACAATAAAAGGGAAGTGTGTGAAGGCTGTTGTATTTCATTCTGGAGCCATTTAAGCCCATAGAAAAGGGAATACAAGCAAGTATGTTAAAACCAAACAAGCATGTACTACTTTTGATAAATAAGTGAGATTGTATGTAAGAGGTTGGCTGGCCGTGTGCTCCAGGAAATTCTGTGTTGTTCTCTTCTGGAAGCTTTAGTTTATAGTCTCTGGGTATTGGCTGTTGATGAGAATACATGGTGCCGGGGGCAGTTTGTGGGTGTGACCACCAAGCTACTGGAATACTGGGGACTGAGGGGAGGAGGCCCAGTTGCGATCTGAGTGGGCTTGGAGATCTCAGTCATGGGTTCCCATATACCTGGGTTTTCTGCCGATCCCTCTTGGGTGAGGATCATCCAAGCATGTGGAGAGTGGCCTTGAGCATGGCAGCGGTTGGATTCTGGAGGATTTAGGCTGCGGGGGTTCTGCCTGGGGAGGGGAGAGAAACTCAACCCTCCTGCCTCCAAGGTGCCTCGATGAAGACAGCCTGGTCAGGACATTCTGCCCCTCAATTTTTTAAAATTAAAGAAGGAATAATAGAGTAGGAATAGTTTCACCAAAGGGAATGTTAATATCTCATTCATCTTTAAACAAGTAATTTTGGAGTGCTATCTTAGGGACTTGCGATCTATTGGTAAAAAAGCTAGACACATCCTTGTTCTCACATAGTCTAAGCAGATTTCTAATTTTCAGAACCTATATGATTCTTCTTAAATGTCATATATGTCTGTATTTTTTGTTTACGTTATTGAAACACCTGGTTTATAAAGTTTTTCATATTACAGCTGTTATGGTCATTAAATATTCCAACACCAATTTCACCACCAGAATGACCTTCCCTCCACCATTTTCCCAACCACCCTCATGCCTGGACCTTTAGCAGGCACAGAATAATTTATTTTATACTTCTTTTTACAATTAAATGGCTGATGAAATTATTAAAAAATACTAAAGTAAAAAAAATTGTGAAAATTGTTACATCTCCTCATGGGGTCATTAAGTCCTTGTCTGAGGGTTTACTAATTTGTTTGTTAGTTGATCCTTCTGTGTTATTGTTTTTATTCATTGAGCTTATTTGGCTTCCATGTTACTTCCTATCTAATTTGGTGTGATGCTGCTGGGATGTAACTATTGTGGAATTTGAAGGTGTTGTGTAGCTGCATATGTGGCTGTGCACTCCAGAAACTCTAGGATTTGTAGAACTGAGCATATAAGTTTACATGACAGTGGCTTGTGGGTATGGCTGTCGGGGATTCTTTAAGGACAGGGTGAGATGTGAGTATACACCTGTATTTTATTTATTTTTTAATTATTATTTTTATTTTTTGCTCTTGGGTTCACACCAAGAGATGCACAGGTATAAGTCCTGGATCTGCACTCAGGAATTACTCCTGGTGCTGTTCAGGGGACCTTATGGGATGCTGGGAATCGAATCTGGGTGAGCCACGTGCAAGGCAAATGCCCTATCTGCTTTGATATCGCTCTAGCCCCTACACCTGTATTTTAACAGATATAGTTAACATATTCTTTTTTTATTAGTTTAAGATCTATAACTTGATAATTTGATATGTGTTGTGACACAATAATCATAGTAAGTTTAGTTAACATCTATTACACCATTCTAATTTTTTTCTTGCAATGAGAACATTTAAGTTTCAGGTATATAATACAATATGTACACCAGTTCATAATTAAGGTATTTTAAGGAACAATTTTACATTAATCTTTTGTTTAATGTATTTTCAAACACATAATTTTAAAATGACACAACACAAAAGGGTTACATAATAAAAAGCAGATATCCCTCCTTTGGTTCCAAATTTCCCATAGGACTTCAGAACTCTCTTTTACATAATTTTTTATGTCTCATTACTGAGGCAAACATAAATATTATATAAGGCTCTTTCCCTGATACAGCTGCTAGCAGTAAGGTAAGGGAACAGGGTTTGAGAGAGTCATAAAGTTCCCACCACGATGGAGATAGTTCTAATCAAGGTGGAGAACAGGGATAACAATAAAACCTTAAGAGGAAGGAAGTTAATTAGGAGGGAGTAACCTTCAACTCTAAGGATTGAGCAGTGACATTAAAGTATAAAAGAAAATGGAGAATATAAATAGAATTGACTACATAAAGGCTACTGAGAACTGCTCTGTACAAGACATATTAAGATACATAGTTCCTATAAAGACAATGGAAGAATAGAGTACACGAGTGATTATATTACAAGAAATATCCAGACTAGTACAGTGGTTAATAATCTTTAGGGATGTTTATATTAAATAAGAAACATTTTTATTGGGCCTCCTGAGGTACTCTTTCAGTTTGGACTTAAGGGTGTTCCATTCCTTAGTGATATTGCCTTAGAGCTACTGTCTCCTAAATCACTTCTTGATTGGCCAGAACCTCTCTCCTGTGCCCCATTTTCCCAAGGTTGAAGTTGACCTGTAGATAGATGATCTTCAGACATAAGGCATATGGTCTAAGACAGCAGATGTCTCTTTACCACATCTGTATAATAAATTAGCCTTTAGGTTATTTTCTTGTAGACGCTCCTAATTGGGTTCTGGCTCTTTCTCTCTTAACCATTACTTGTCAAACTGGACGTTCATGTTCTATCGGGTTGGTTAAGATTTCTCTCTCTCTCTCTCTCTCTCTCTCTCTCTCTCCCCTCTTTCTTTCTCTTCTCTGATTTTTCCTCTCTCTGTGTTATTCCTCTCATCAGAACTTCCATCTTTTATCTCATGCACAGTTCCCCCTGGCCATCACTTAAAGTTCTTTTTTTTATTATTTTGGGCAACACCAGACTGTGCTCAGGGATTAGTTGTGGCTCTGCTCAAGGGTAATTTCTGGTGGAGCTCAGGGAACCATATGTGGTGCTGGGGATTGAAACTGGGTCAGTTGATGTAAAGCAAGCACCTTACCCACTGTACTATCTCTCTGGCCTTTAAGACATCTTTAAAAAAAAGTAGAGTATCAGACCCATAGTGCTCTGTATTAACATTTATCAATAGGTTTTGGGCAGGTGGGGCCTCCTCAATTTCAAGAACAGACAGAGAGCTGTGACTCGAGGATCCTTGGATGATTGCGTTTCTGTCTGTCTTAGCATACCAGATGTTGAGTTGGCCTGACTACTGTTGTTAGTGCAATGAGTAATCCACTATAGTGCTCCTCACACAGAGACAACAACTACTGAGGAAAGAGTTGACTCTTCTCAAGGGCACAGTAATTACAACCTCATTATATATTTCTTTGCATTTTAATATATCAACATTATTACAATAAAGCCTGTGTAAACTATGCTGTGTAACACACAAAGTAAGTTATATAAATATATATACATACACTCTCAACCAGACTAAAGAGGTAATTTTTCAGTTTCAGATATGTAAAATGGAATGATACTACCTTAAATTTTTAAAGTAGTGAATAAAAGCAACTTCTTTCGGAATTGGGAGTTTTGCATGAAACATAGTTTTTATAAGCAATAACATAGGCTAATTTGAAATAGGTGTTAGTAGTCAGATGGGCTGACCCATATGTGTGCTTTGAATGAATAATTAAAATCTGTTCCTGACACAAGGAGCAGCCCGGCATTATAGGGAGGTTATTTCATTTTCACAGAATTCTGGAGCCCCCATCATTATTAGTGGCAGTGTTTTCTTGCTTCTGGGGGACATTAAGAGATAAGAAAAAATCAGTCAAAAACTCAAAAAAAGAAGCTAATGAAAAAATAGAGTCATATGTCTTTCATCTTTAATTAGGTATCTGTAGCACTTTTGTCTCCAGAAGTTGTCTTTGGAACATTGATGACACATTGGGCTTCATCAGATCTTTCAGGTATATGGCATCTTACTCTGAAAAACGAGAAAAAATTTGATGAGATTTCACAGTACAGCTACTTTCTCTTTCAAGATTTCAACCACAGAGCAGCATATAGTGGAACATTGCAACAGCAGCAAGAGGAAACAAGCCATTGAAGAGAAAGGTGGAGAAACGACATTTGTCCTTTATTTTTTGTCTGGGCATTTTTTCTGCCCCATGAGAATTCCCTGCTGCCTTCCCTCTTGAGCCTATTTCCAAATCTTACGTGACAGAGAAGGCAAAAATCTCAGCCTCCTAGCCCATTAGTGATGATTCCTAGGGTTTCAGGGGCTGTGTATTAGGGTGTCAAGCAACCTGGGTCTCTGTGATCGCCTTGTCACCTAGGATCGCCTTGGTTCTACAGCTCTGTAGAACAGTAGCCAGAATGTTGGTTATCTTGAGAGCAAAGTTTTTCCGTGAAAATGGAGGTGCGGACAATTTGATTACTCCAGGCTAAAGGACAGCTCAGGAGGAACCTTTGTGCATACACTTATTTTTTTCCATTCATATCGATTAAGCTCCTAATTTGCCAGGAACCATGGTAGCTGATGAAAGCATAAAAATGAGCTGAAATGAAATGATTCCTGATCTCTATAAAGTTTAGCTTAATTCAATTTATAGAGTCAAATAATAAAATTACATAAAAGTGCAGTATAAGTTGGTACTATCAAGTGAAAGCACAGGTGGACCAAAGAGATATGCAAATGGATTCAATGCATGTTTCTCATGTGGGAAGTGTGAGTTTGAATCCGAGTCATATGGTCTCTCAAGCACAGAGCAAGGACTAGTCCCTTAGCACCACTGGAGATGGTCCCACTTAATTTTTTTAAACAAACAAACAAATAACAGGGACCCACATGACACTATAGCAGTCCAACATAATCCCGTTTGGGAACAGATTTTAAGAAAGTGTTGCTTGAGACAAGATCTGAAGACTAAGGTAAAGAAATAGCAGAGCACCCCAAACAGAAGGCACAGAAGCGCAAAGACTGAACACGAAAGGAACAGATTATCATTCTTATTATTTGTTTATTCATTTTAAATATGTGGACACCTACTGGTCCAGGCATTGTGCGGTAACCATGGTGAATAAGATACAGTACATGTTCAGTACATCAGACCACCTGTATATTGATATTTTACTTGAAATTTACTGCACCTGTCATGCTCCTTAAGTATTGGCCTTGGAGACCCTATTTCTACCTATAGTTAGGATATTTCACTTCAGGTCCTATCTAATCTCACACAATTAATTTGAATTTGTTGAGGTCTCAGGATGTCAAGACTTTGAGATTCTTGATTCTCTGGGGATCATAATTAAGGGTAGGCTCTTACCTTTCTTCAAGCTGTTCCTGCTCTTCTGCCTCCACATGAATAGTTTCTAAAAGAAACAAAAAAAACCCTTAATGTATTATACATAAATACTAAGGGTTGGAGTGATAGCACAGTGGGTATGGTGTTTGCCTTGCATGCGGCCGACCCAGATTCGATTCCTCTGTCCTTCTCGGAGAGCCCTGCAAGCTAAAAAGACTATCCCACCCACATGGCAGAGCCTGGCAAGCTTCCTGTGGCATATTCGATATGCCAAACACAGTAACAACATTCTTACAATGGAATCATTACTGGTGCCCGCTCGAACAAATCCATGAACAACAGGAGGACAGTGCTACAGTGCTAGATAAATACTAAATAAGAAAAAGGGTTTTTCTTGTTGTTGTTTTTTTTTTAAATTTTTACTAGTGAAAAACCATGAGGTACAGTTGTATACTTACAAATTTTTGTTCTCGGGTTTCAGTTACACAATGATCAAGTACTCATCTCTCCACCAGTGCTCATTCTCCAACACCAATGATCCCAGTATCCCTTCCACTACCCCCCAACCCCCCACCCTGCCTTTGTGGAGGGGCATTCCCTTTTGTTCTCTCTTTCCTTTTGGGTGTTGTGGTTTGCAATAGAGGTACTGAGTGGCCATCATGTTCAGTCTATAGTCTACTTTCAGCACGCGTCTCTCATCCTGGGCGGATTCTCCCCACACTTTTTACTTGGTGTTCCCTTCTCTATCTGAGTGGCCTTTCCCCCTAGCATGTGCGATTGGCCTCCAAGTCATGGAGCAAACCTCCTGGTACTTATTTCAACTATTCTTGGGTGTTAGTCTCCTGTTCTGTTACTTTATGTTCCCCAGATGAATGCAGTCTTTCTGTGTCTGCCTCTCTCTTTCTGGCTCATTTCACTTAGCATGATACTTTCCATGTAGAACCACTTGTATGCAAATCTCATGACTTTATCTTTTCTAACAGCTGCATATAGTGTTCCATTGTGTAGATGCACCAAAGTTTCTTTAACCAGTCATCTGTTCTTGGGCACTCGGGTTTTTTCTAGATTCTGGCTATTGTAAACAGTGCTGCAATGAACAAACAAGTGCAGATGTCACTTCGACTATACTTTTTTGCATCTCAATTTTTTGAGAAGGAACCAACCATGCTGTTTTCCAAAAGGACCGAACCAGTCGGCATTCCCACCAGCAGTGTAGGGGGGTCCCTTTCTCCCCGCATCCATGCCAACAGTGGTTGCTTTTGTTCTTTTGGATGCGTACCAGTCTCCTTGATGTGAAGTGGTATCTCACAGTTGTTTTGCATCTCCCTGATGATTAGTGATGAAGAGCATTTTTCATGTGCCTTTTGGCTATTCATTAAAAAAGAAAAACTTTGAGAAACCTCAAAGTTTAGGTCTCAGAGAGAAATCATGTGGGATAGACAGTTATGTAAACAATACAGTTTCAGAGAGCTGGGGAAGGTGCTCCAAAAAATGGAACTCTTTTTCTTCTTCATTGTGCTTGAAGTTCTGTTGGAACTAAGTTTTTCTTACAGTACTAACACTACGAGAAAATTAAAATACTACCATAAAAGATTACTTATGTGATTAATAGAAGTAGTTTCATGACCAGAAAAGGGTTTTTAATCCTTTTCTGGGAGTAAGGACTAGAATGAGGAAAAGGAAATCTTGAAGTGGCTTATGCCTAAATAGGCTAGTCAGTTAGTACTAGCAAATGCTGCAGAGTGTTCCTTGGATGACCTCAAAGCTGTTCATGATTGAGTCTCAGTTATACAATGACTCAATACCCATCCATTCACCAGTGTACATTTCCCACCACCAATGTCCCCTGTTTCCCTACCATGATCCCTCAACCCCTCAGCCTCCCTCTACTCCCTCTGTGGCAGGCACTTTTCTTCTTTCTCTCGCTCTCCTATTCCTTTTGCAATACAGGTACTAAGAGGTCATTGCGTTTGTTCAGGGAATTCAGTATTTTTATCGAGACAGTAAATCTGGAGTAGCTTTTTAACTGGGTGGCAGCTTTGGGGTGTGGATGTGACTGCCGCCTAGGCTTCTGGATGTACAGGGACGTTGAGGAGGGTGTAGCCCATCCCTACCCAGAGAAAGCCTGGAGATTTCAGTCACAAAACCTGTATACCCAAGTTTTCAACAGATTATATCTTGGTGAGGTGGAGTCTGGCCAGAGGCATGGTGGCCATTTTGGATTATGGGAGCAAGAGGCTGCTGGGGTCTCTGCTAGGGCAGGCACCAGGGTGACCTGCCTTCCTCCAATTTACCCAGATCTGTTCAGCCTTGCATGGGTCCAAGATTAACTGTGGCTTTTGATCTCTTTTGAGATTTATTTGTGGGTCTCTTAAGCAAGGTTTAAAAATGACCTTGTATCATTGAGCCAAAGGTAATTTGAGGGTGTGGCTCCCACATACCTAACTTTTGGTTGTTTAATTTCTCAGGAAACTTGGTCCCAAGCTATTGGGGTCAAACCAGAGGCACAGTGGCAGTTTTTGGGTGTCAAAAAGCCTGAAGATATCAACAGGCTGCTGATGCACTGACTCTGGGGGTAGAGGTTGACCTGCTGGTATCACGGCATCTCTTAAAGTGGGAATTTTTCAGTTGATTTGATTGCTGAAAGCTTATCTTTTGTTTCCAGTGCTAATAATTGAACCCAGGGAATTATTCATGCAATTTTAAGCTACATCTTTAAACTATAACTCAAGATACAACTAAATAAAATACCTGAAGAATTTGGGAAGTTATCATTTCTCATATTGTGAAACTTCTTTTGTGTACTCCTACTTTCAAGAATTTTCCTTTTTGTTTCTTAAAATCATGAATGACTAACTTTGCCAAATGAATTTTTATATATATTGATAAGACCATATATGTTTGCTTTTTTGTTTGTGATGATCAATTTAATTGCTGTTTTTTGTGATTTAAAAATTATTTTACTTTCATTTTTAATTTACTTTTTAAATTTATTGATTACCAGGCTACAAATTTATTATTCATGACTGAGTTTTAGGCATGCAATGTTCCAGTTCCATTCCCTTCATTAGTGTCCACTTCCTTCCACCAAAGTCTCCAGTTTTTCTTCATCCTCTCCTTTCCCACTTCTATGGTGGGCAATTTTCCCTTTTTCTATTTTCTTTTAAGGCACTGTGATTTGCAATATTGTTACTGAAAGAGTATCATACATCACTTTATCTCCTTTCAGCACCCAGTTCTCATCAAAATTGATCACTTCCTCTTTCGTTGTCATAGTGGTCCTTCTATCTTAGACCTTCTTCCCCCACTATGACAAAGTTCGTACAAAGGACCAGTTCTCTTGCCCTTTGTTTCCATGGTCTCAGACATTTACCTCCTATAAGATCTTTTCTATTCCACAAATGAGTGCCATCATTCTGTGTCTGTCCTCTCCCTATGACTCACTCCATTTTGCATATTCTCCAGATACATTCATGTATTAGCCAATTTCATGACTTCACCTTTTCTAATGACCGCTTAGTATTCCATTGTGTATATGTACCATAGCTTCTAATTTTCTCTCTCTCTCTCTCTCTCTTTCTCTTTTTGAAATTTGAATAACCACGAGATATGTAGTTACAAACTAGTTCATGACTGGGTTTCAGTCATACAGTGTTCCAACATCTGTCTCTTCACCAGTGTGCACTTCCCACAACCAATTTCCCCAGCTTCACCTCTCCTCCTCCCCCACATACACTGCCAGGCACTTTTCTTCTTTCTCTCTCTTATTATTACTCTCTTGCTCTCTTTCCTTAGCTTCTTAATCTAGTCATCTATTATTTGCACTTGGGTTGTTTCCAGATTTGTGCTATTGTGAATATTACAGCAATAATTAGGGATGAAGAGATGCAGATGTCTTTTCTGAATTGGGTTCTTAGGGTATATTCCCAGGGGTAGGATTGCTGGGTCATAAGTAAGCTCAATTTCTATTTTTTTTTGAGAAATATTCATACTGTTTTCCAAAAAAAAGCCCAATCAGTTGACATTCCTACATGCAGTGAATAAGAGTTTCTTTTGCCTGCATCCACGCCAGCACTGGTTGCTTTTGCTATTTGTGATGAGTGTTAGTTTCTGTGGTGTCAAGCAACATCTCATTGTTGTTTTGATTTGTATTTCCCTGATGATTAGTGTAGAATAACATTGGTTTGTCCTTTCTTCCTTGCCACAGGGAATTTAGGCTTATTTGGTTACTCCCATCGTAGTGCTCCCATTCCTCTGTGTTTATTTGTAAACTCTTTCTTGGTGCTCTGCTTCCCCAACCAGTCAATCACCTTTATCTCCTAATCAGACTGTTGCACTGTAGCACTGTCCTCCCATTGTTCATCGATTTGCTCGAGCGGGCCCAGTAACGTCTTCATTTTGAGACTTGTTGTTACTGTGTTTGGCATATTGAATACATCATGGGTAGCTTGCCAGGCTCTGCCGTGTGGGCGAGATACTCTTGGTAGCTTGCTGGGCTCTTCGAGAGGGGCGGATGAATCAAACCCAGCCCGGCTGGGCTGGCTGCGCGCAAGGCAAACACCCTACTGCTGTGCTATTGCTCTAGCCCATCAGACTGTTAACTTGTAAATATTGCTTTTCTCCTCTCCTTAAATCCTTTGCATAGTTAATTTAGAGCAATGTCCTTTTTGTATAGATACAAGAAGACAGTTAATTCTATGCTTTTGTAACTTGGGAGTTAATTTACTCTGAATGATATTCACTCCTGGGCATCTGTTTTCTTGAGTTAAGCTTCAGTCGCTCTTACTTCCTAGCACCCCAAAAGCAGGGTCCTGACGAGGGACTGGATGGGCCCACGGCAAGTTGTGAAGTATCCTGGCATCAAAATGGACCAGGCCAATAATACTTAATTATAAGTTAAGAGCATGATCATGGACAAATTCTGTCATGATCCAAAAAGTAACAACTGAATTAGAACCCTGCTAGGGTTAGGAAAGATTAATCTGGCCTGAGCACTGTAGTCTGAGATCTATAGTGAGATATCCCCAGGAAAGCCACCCTACAAACTTAATATATCTCTTGCTGTGT